CCTGCTGTGCAGCCCCCCCGTTCCTAAGTTCCATGGAAGGCAATTTTTCCACGGACAGGGGGCAGGGGTGGGGGCCTGCAGAGGAGCTCTGAGGCCCAGTCCCTAACACGCCACGGGGTTGGAGGCCACAGATTTAAAGCATACAAGAAGATATGTGTAGGTTATATGCAAATACTATGACTACGTCATTTTATAAAAGCAATTTGAGCATCCACAGATTTTGGTGTCCACCCAACATCCTAGAACCAATGCCCTGCAGGTACCGAGGGACTACTGCTGTACAAAGTATTACCCAATTAATGAAAATACAGCCAGCAATTAAAAGACTATGAATTATCTAAAGGCACTAGGCATATTATTTTGTCAAATGTTATTAAGAAATAGGTAATTCAAACTGAGTTATTGACTATATTCATGATTTATTTTTATTTCACTAACTTCAAGAGACATGAGTCACTAGTTTCATGGAATGTTATCTACAACCATAAAATGTAGCTTAATATTTTCTTATGTTTTCTTATGTTTCAAATGTTCTTATGCTACAAAAAATGTATTAGAATAAGCAACTGAAATTGCTTATGATCTTCCTCTAAAGAAAATCATTGGAAACCACAGTGCAAAGTCTCCAGGAAATATTTTGAGAAAGGAAATGACATACCCGCAAACATCAGCTCTGAAACATCAGGTTTGACGTGCAGACAGGTGAAAAGAGGTAAAGGGCATTGTGCAGTGTTGACTTTCTCCTTCAAACTACTCAAGGTAGTGTTCATTCTCTGTCCACAGAAGAAAGAACTGACTTTAAATGTATAAACAGATACAGAGAGAAAGGTACTTAAAACAGTACTTCCAATCAAAATACTTAAACTTTTTACAATAAAAATAAGTCTTATTATTTCTAGAAATCCCTGGGTCCTGAATAAACAACAATAAGGAAGCTCGATGGAAGTAATCATCTTCATTTTGAAAACAATCAAAACTCTAGGGGCTATGTTGACTTTGAACTGGAAAACGATGTGGCAACTATATGGAGCCTGGAAGAAATTTAGCCTCCGGACTCCCTGTCGTGGCTCTTCTCTATCTCCTCTGCTTTATCTTCAGACAAAACATCACACGGCCATCATGCGTCAAGTTCCACGTGATCCACTTCCTTTTCTGACTCTTCCCAGGCAACCTCCACTCTTCCTCTACTTTTAACATATTGCTTGCATTCACTTCCTCATCTAAAAATATTATCACTCTTGGGCAGAATGGGTAGTTAAGGTTTCCCCACACATCAAAACTGATACATAGTTCAAATAAATCGGTAAGCAATGGTTTGAAATGCAGAAGAGTTACGTCTGGCCGGGAGAATGTGCTCAGTCCATAGGGTTGAAGGACTGAGTTGCATGACTTTTACAAAATGCATCATATTTTATTTTATTGAAAAGATTATTATATGCATTGTCTACCTGCATTAAAAGTATTGCAGACTGAACTGTGGCTTACATTATGAATTAGTGTTTCTCCTATTAGCATGCCAAAGACATCAGTAAAGGTGACAGGTTGTCCAGAGCTTTTCTTCTTCCATAAAGACTCAACATATCTTTTAATTTTCTGTGGTGTGAGAAGTAAGAGTGGGTTGTGGCTAACATTTTTCATTAGTTCTTCATTAATCTCCTCTGGCCCTTTCTCTGGAAAATCAGGGTGAGAATACAAGGTTGACATGTACCTGTAAAGAAAACAAGACATAATCAGTAAAGATAAACTGTATTGCATAATGGTCTCCAAAGAAAGCAGGTATTCTCTGTCATAAGATAAAGAAAGAATGATGCATATATTTGGTTAACTTCATTATCTGATTGAAGATATTAACCAATTTAAGGAAAGAATGCATCAATCAGAAAGGAGCTGTTCTACAATGAAAAGAAAGTAAAGGAGAGGTCTCAGAGGAAACACTGGACTTCCATGCACATTCCAGAGGAGCAGGTGCTCTATTAGGCCTACTGTCCACTATCTACCCTGCCAGGAATAGGTATCCCTATCAGACCATCAGAGACATACGACACAACACAACTGAGTCATGGAAATAAACTGACTTGTCTGGATGCAAGACTAATCAAGCAATCTGGTAATCTGACTTTCTGTGATGATTATCTACAGGTAGAAAATGTGCTGTTTCAACTACTGTAAATGCCTAATCATTCTGACAAATGCTTTTCTTTTAATTATTATTATTGTCCATTGGCCAACTAGACAAAATCCCAAACTTTGCCAGCTGTAGGTCTGGCAAAACCTGAAGCATTCAGATTCTGAACATATGAATCTGAAGGCAAAATCCTGGAGAGGAATAATGTCTTTAAGGTAAATGCTTTCTTGTGAACCCTCTTGGCCATTTGGCCACTTCTGGTGAAATTAGAAATCACCACGAGCCTTGGTTTTTGATATCTAAGACAACAAACATTCAATTATTGGCCTCCTTCCTGTGAACCAATACTTCTAATATTGTAGACCTCATATTGAATATTAATTACCTATTTACTTGTTTGTCTCCCTCAATAAATTGTGGCCTCATTCAGGAAATGAACTTTATTCATTAATCTTTATAGCAGCTAAGGCCTGGCATATGGCAAGCACAGTTTACTGGACTGACAGAACAAATAAAATGAATGCTATAAACACTCTACCACTTCATCTAACCAAAGAGAAATTAGCACACGTTTTAATCTCTGTTTCCTTGATATTCAAATAAAAATGTTTATCAGACTGGTTTATTTTCCCTTCAGGGAGGGGGGAAAACTAACTCTTCGTGGGTACGTGCTATGTCCTAGGCTCTGTGTTGGTTAATGGTTCATAAGCTGTTGTCTTAAAGACACACAATGGCTTTCAAATCTTCTATTTTAAAAATTAAAAAAAGGACTGGTGAATTTAATTAATTCTCACATTCCCCAATTAATAACAGCAGACTTGGAATTTAAAATTTATCCTCTCTTCTGCTAGGGTTTATTTTATTTTATTTTTATTTTTTTTTTTTGAGACAGAGTCTCACTCTGTTGCCTGGGCTAGAGTGCCATGGAGTCAGCCTAGCTCACGGCAACCTCAAACTCCTGGGCTCAAGCGATCCTACTGACTCAGCCTCCCAGGTAGCTGGGATTACAGGCATGCGCCACAGTGCCCAGCTAAGTTTTTCTATATATTTTTAGTTGTTTGGCTAATTTCTTTCTATTTATAGTAGAGATGGTGTCTCACTCTTGCTCAGATTGGTCTCAAACTCCTGAGCTTGAGAAATCCTCATGTTAGGGTTTATTTTTTAAAATTATTATACAAGAATTTCAGTTCATAGAGACCAAACTATTCTCACTTCACAATAAATTAGAATTTCTTGTTGGATTCAGAATTCCTTAGAGACAAATTGAGACTAACAACGTGTTAATAAATGGAGAGTGATAGACCTACAGTGGAACACATGCTAAGCAAAACAACAAAAACACCTTGAGAGATTACAAATTGAATTCGTAATAGTTCCCACAACATGTGGGAACAAGATAAATCAAATAGACTTACTCTGAACTCAAGCCTAGTACAATCACCAAAAATCTATGAAAATAAAGCTAGAATGATTGAAAGATGGGTAGTCCATCCATTCATTTCCATAGCTATTCCGAAGTCTACAACATGATTCATCCAGATCAACCAAGATCTGATTTTCTGGACCTTGTCATACTTTGAATAAATGCATACATTGTTGTAATAACATTAGTTTATAGTTAAGGACATCATAAAATAGGGAAATAAAACATCCTTTTGAGTCTCTAAGGTGGTCAATTCTGGAAATATTCAGGATACTGTTCACTTTACATGAGAACACTAAAAAGAAATTCTTGACCGGTCTTATTACCAAGAATAATTCCTCCATGGGCCATTGGCTCACCCTTAATTTATCAACATGTGTATTATATAACTGTACATAATTTGCATTTTGCCTTGAATTCTGGAAAGCTCAAATTCAAAACTGTGTCACATGCCTCTCAAAGCTACAGGTTACAGCATGAATTTTTAACCTAATTTCTAACTATATTTTTTTCTTTTTTTCCATTTCTAACTTTAATGTATGCAGTCCAGTTTTATTTTATAATAAGATACATTAAATCCTTTCCACAATGAGACAGGGTAAATACAAGCAAAAGAACCAAAGATTTAATGTCAATAGAAATTAATTTAGTGATTAATGATCATTCTGCTGTTGGAAATTGTCATTTCCTACTGTTCACAGAATGGGGTAATTATTTAATCTTATTTACATTATGCTTAGACTTCCCTTCTCCATCTATATTTAGCTGGTCTTCAGTGAATTAACTTATGATTCTAAAAAGTACCTCCTCATAGTGGATTGTCTCTAGCAAAACCTGAAGGCCTTTCTCTTCTCTTCTCTTCCTTTCCTCCCAATGTTAACCACTGACTGAATGTAAATTAGGAAAATCCTTCCTTTGGGGTTGGGAGTTGCTCAAAATCTAGGAATCCATTCCACAGTTTCAGAAATAGATGATTTTAAAGGGCCAAAATGTATATGGATGCCAGCCAATTCTCTCTTTTTGTTCCATGCAGAATGGCTGCTCTCTGAAGGTTAAAGTAAACTCATTCACTTATATCCTATCTCTCCCTCTTCCTTTCTCTCTCTCTCTTTCTTCCCCTCTCATGAAGTAGTTGGCTTGGGAATATGAATCCTGGTCAGAGAAAGAAAGACCTAAAATACCATCACTATTGGCATTGAGTTAATGTTCTCTGCTTGTTCAGCATTTATGAACACATATTCCTTAGAATTCACAAAATGAGTTGGATAACATTTTCATGGTGTCGTTGCAGTTACATTGAAGACTTAGGCTTTGGTTTGGCTAAAGATGGAGTACTAGGCAATCGCTAGTTTTTCTGTTCAGCCTTTTAAGCTTAAATTGCTTTCTTTGCTTTTTGCTTCCTTGGTTGTACCAGTGTAGGATTTAGATATAACTGGCTTCTTTGGACATAACACTATCTAAAGCACACAAATATCACCCCAATTTCCAATTCTATAGTTAAGCCTTGAATTTCATCTCTTTACCAACAAATTTTTTCCAACCATACTAACCAAGTTTCAAAAAGTGAGTGCCTTAGACATAGCAGGGCCTCTATAAATAATTAATGAATGAAACGATCTTATGTTTATTTATTCTTAAATCTGGAAATATTTGCCTCTGATTTTTCACCATACTTATATGATAGAACTCTTCATTCTTTCCATCTAAATGCATTTCAGTTTAACCGTAAAATTTTAAAAGTTAAATCATGGCAGAGAAGAAGAGATTTCGCTTCAATCCCTGTCCCCAAATCATATGGTCAATGTTTTAAAATTATCAGTGCCTAGCCACCCAGGACTTGTTAAATTAGAACCTTCTGGGGTAAACATTTAGAATTTTTGTTCTTAAAAAAAGTGCAATAGTGAAGTGATTCTCACATGCAACTAAAATTTGGAATGACTTAAGAATACTCTCAACATTTATGAAGGAAATATCCTGAAAGCCTAGAGAAATACCTAGATTAATTTTTCCCATAAAATCCAGTTACTATCTATTTCTTTATTTAGTCATTAAGCAACTATTACTTAAGGCAAGTCAAGCACTCTGCTAGGTGAGATGACAATTTCTGTTAAAATTAGGTTTTTTTTCCCAATGTTCCAGAAATTCCTCATACTGTTTAACTCAAAGTTCTCATTCTCAAATTCTATTTTAGCCAGTTTAATGAATTGGGCTTTATTGTCTAGAGATGCAGAGCTGTTCTCATTTCTCTTTAGATGGTAATGCCATACAAACATGGCCATCAATATCTAACAGCCCCTAAGGATGTTACAAGAGAACCTCTTTGCTGAGGAAGACAGTGGTGCTAACTCTGAGTAAGAGAACATAGGATTACTGTCATAATTCTCTGGTTCACATGTTTCATGTCTCCAGGTTGGCTCATACTTATATTTAATGAATCACAAGTATCATCCACAAATAATTTCAGAAATAATTACCATAAAAGTAGTAGTAGTTATAAAGGAAGCTTTGTTCTACCTAAAATTCTATTTTGTGATCACAGAAAACTTTCTGGGAGGTCTAGGGCTTCTCCAGATATTTCCGTATTACCTCATTTATGCCAAATAATGGCCACGTATCAGCAGAATATAAAAAGTTACGTAACACAGAAGTGTAATTTGTTTTTCCAAGCCTTTCCGAATTCCTTCCTTTGAACTTTTTACCTTCTCACCTATACTTTTTAAGAGAGAAGCATTCACATGAATCATCCTGACCACCTTCTCTTCTATCTCAGGAAGCAGCTCGTCTTTCCCTGGTTAACACCTTCCCCTGGGCTTTCTCTCTCGTGTCCTGTCTCTGCCTGAATCTTTCCCTATCTACGATCCTTCTATGTCTTTATCTCCCATCTATCTCGCTACACTATTTCCTTCACCTCAGACTTCTAAAAATAATATTCGAATTTCATAAATTCTACAAAAAAAAACCTTCTTCCCTGCGCATTACGTTGTTACATTCCCTTCAGACAGTAACTCTGCTCATTCCTTCTCTTTCCAGCTGCTTGAAATAACAGACAGCTCTTACCAAGGAGGTTCACATTCCTACCTTTTGAACTTTTACCTTCTGTTCACTTCTTTTTGTTTTGTAATTTCATGTTCAAAAGTATCCTTTATTTATTTTAACTAGTAGTTCTTATTAAAATCACTAGCCAAATCCAGTCCCATGCTAAGCTTTTCACAGATTTTCAACATGATTAAATCACCTACTTCTCATAGCAGTCTTCACCTGCCCCCTGGAACTCATTTTGGCTTGGTTCTCCTCTCTGATGGCTTCTTCGCAGTATCCGTTAGGTTTTTCTTTCCTTTGTCTAGTAAGTTTGGAGATATTCTAGGGTTCCATGAATTAAATTCTTGGTGGCAATAGCTAAAGTGGTAGAAGTTGGTGGAATTACCAAGGAAGGATGTATACATGTACTAGAGCAAAAGGAGAGGCCTGGAGGAAGCCAACGTTAAGGAGAAAAATAGTGGAAGTAGCAGAGACCATGTATGGAGGAGAGAGCAACCACAGAGGATGAAATACAACCAAGATGGTCCGATAGGAGCAATTTGAAATAAGGATGAGTCGATGTGTGAAATGTCTCAACCTCTGACCCCTCCCTCCCCTCTTCACCCCCGAAGAAGTCAAGTAAAATAAGAACTTTGGAAATTAAGTGGTCTGTGAGTGAAAATCTATTATAAGGATTTTAAAAGTGAGTAGCTTTTAAGAACACGGAATTTTTAAAAAGGTGGCTAATCTTCAAGGAAATAAGACTTTGAAAGACAAAGTTAAAGTCTATATATACATAAATGTGTGTGCACATTTAAGATTCTTTTAATTACATTTTACAGGACTTGTTTTCAGAACCTGGACAGGAAAATGTAAGACTATATTGCTCCAAATCTATAACCAAAGCAATGGCTGCAGCTCTAATCAAGTTCACGCACACACGATTATATCCCTAAATCAGTTTCCAAGGACTAGTCTTTCTTTATTAGATGAGTTTAAGAAAGTATACGTCTTGCAGTGTATTAGTCAGTACTGGACAATAGGGATCTATAATAAAAAAAGAAAACCACCTGAAGAATAATAGCAAAATGATTGAGTAGGCGAATTAATGTAAGGGTCCAAGTTTTTCCATCACATTACTCATGAAACAGGCAGATGCCTGCTCTTTCCTTCAAGGGAAAGAATAATGATGGGCTACACCCTTCTTTCAGAAAAGATAAATCATTTTAAGGGTAATACCAAGAAGGTGGCAGCCATGGCTCTAAGGTTTTGTTCTTTAGCCAAAGAATCTGATTCAAAATATTTAAGAAACTATAGGTTATTTAAATGCAAAGCTATATATAAAATATATAGATGTCCAAGAAAAGATTGTGGTTTAGTAGAAAGAATCTTAGCATTCTTAGGATCAAAAGCCGGAATTTCTATATTCCGCTAGCAATGCTAGACAAGTCATTGGCTTCTGAGTCAAATTTTCTTTAACTGACAAATGAAGAAACTTATATCCAACTCACAAGATAAAATGACACAGAAACTTGAAAATGCTAGACATATATGATACAATATTATGACAGATTGAGCTTGCCATAGCTGAATGACTAAAAAAAAAGCCTTGGAAATCAAAGATAGATCTTTTGTAATAAAGTCGTTCTATTAATTGAGACACAGGAGCAAGGAATTTTATTTGATTTTCCATGTGCTTATGTGAGGTAGGCAAACCAAAAAGTATTAATATATAATATCATCTTAGAAAATGTTTTATAAATGTATTTGTGAAGAAGCAAAACTACAGGGTACAAGTATTATACATATGGATGTTTTGACTCTCCATCTAAACTTAGCTGAGCTTAAATACATTAAAAAGACTAATATCAGGTTTAGTTAGATATATATCAGTGAAATTTATTGCATTCCTGCATTTAAAAGTTGTTTTCCTTCTTCTGTATACTATAGTATATTTATTGCATTTTATCCTATTTGCCCTAAAGAAGAAAATGAATACCTAGTGAATCATGTACACTTAGACATGTTCACTGAAGGACTACAAATCAGCAAATTATGGGAAGATTAAATTAATTATGGGTGGAGTATGTTATTCCTCTTCTGCTATATTTATCTAGAATTATTTTCAACTGATCTATTTTTTATTTTATGTTTTAACTACATTTTTACTTACAAAGTGGCTTAAAAGTGGTAAATTTATGGTGAAAGTTATTAGTAGATATGGATTTGCCTTAAAAAAAAATTGTTAAGCAGATTATGGCATCAGACTGGAAGCTTAATTTTCAATTTTCCAAAACCGCCTTTTCACTTCTAATGTTTGAGTTAGAGAAATGCTGAACATTCAGAATTATACAACTAAAATTAAAAATGTATACAGACCATGTGGAGCCAGAAAGACCAGCAACATAGGTAGCACAATCCAGAATCCCTGATTCATACAGCGCCTTCATCACACCGGAAAATCCCACCATGGCTCGGAAACCTCCACCTGAACCCAATATGGCCACCACAGGCACCTGAAATGAGGCAACATAGAGAGTGTATACAAAGTAAAAATCGTAAAATGTATTGCCTTTAATCTCAATTTTTGTATTATATATCCCACATTTTGTCATAAAGAAGTGCACGTTCACTCATACTTTAGTGATGTCTAATTTTTTTAATGAAGAAAATAATGTTTCATATAAGAAAATCAAGAATCAATGTCTATTGGAAAGCAGATATTATTAAAATGACCAGCTTACTCCATTTAATAATAATAATAACAATAACGTTCTATTTTTGTTCAACCTTTTGCAATTTTTGAATTGTTTTCAGGGGCATTGTTTTATCTGGTCCTCTCACATACCCTATAAGGAGAGCAAAGGGAAGTATTTGCTGCTTTTGCAGATGAAAGTTCTAAATGATGATGTTCCTTATATAAGATTTGTTAACTGGTAATTTGTAGTTGGTTACTGATCTGATACTAGGAGTAAAATAGAAGAAGGAGTATTAGAGTTTTTAGCTTTGCTCATAAACAGATGATGCTGTCATCACCGAGAACAAGGATCCCAAAGCAAAGCCAGGCGAAGGAAGAAATAGGGCACTCGGTCCTAGAAATGCTGAATGCTCAACACGAATGTGTGCACATCCCTGTGTCCACTTGCCAGCGTCATGTGTACATATGTTAATGGAATGATTATTTTACAACTAGAAGGGCCAAAAAGATTATTTAACTCTTAAATATGGAAAGAGAAACCTGTAGAGATTAAGTCTTATTAATGTTAGGGCAGCAAAGAGTAGGATACCTAAGACTAAATTCCTAATCAGGAGCTCTTCTCTAATAGCAAGTGGCATCAAATCAAAAGACACTAGGCATCAAACGAGATGCAACCTGGAGACCTCATAATGAAACCACACTCTCCCAGAGCCACGGAGTAATTTCAGTGGCCTCGAACCTGTGTATGTATAGATAAACATAACGCTCCCAAACATAGATTTTAAAGTTGTAAATCAAGTAACATATGTAAGTTCTTAAAAGCTTGTCTGGAGGAGGAAATAAAGCTAAGATAGGAAACTAAAGTGGTATATAAAGTGGGTGAATGGAGCGCAAAATAGTATTAGTTGCAACAGTAGTTGTAAAGAAGCCAGATAAGAAGTTAGAACAAAGAGGAGGGATTTGAAAGAGGAGGCCTTGAAAAGAGGTTGAGTTTATAGGCAATATAATAACAATAATAGCAAACATTTACCATTGCTATGTGCTCAGCACCGGGCCTAAGAATCAGGTCAAGAGAGGCATAAGCAGGGAAGGGTATGCGATTCGGGGACCAAGAATCCAGTCTTATTATTGCAGAAGGAGTATACTAGGGAGTTTGGAAAAACAGTATTATGAAGGGTTTTAAAGGAAAAAATTTCAAGGTTGATGTGGTAGAGAAGACAGTTTATATTCAAAAATCATTTGGGGGCATATGAGTCTGTAGGTTTGGTTAATTGTAACATTGTATTATGAAAACTAACAAACTCAATACAAATCAGGTAGTTTAGAATAAAAATGTTTTTAGCAACAGATTACGTTGTTCATTTCAACATACAGCACACAGCCTGCACAGTTATTCACAGGGAGATTTAATAAGAGAAGTTGGAAAAATGAACATAAAACCTTCACTAATTCTGAGGAAACAGCTCCCCAGATATCCTTCTTCATGTGTACGTTGCTCAGAATCTTCTGGAAACAGCTTCCTAATTAAACTGGAATTCATGTGCTATGTAACCCATTGTTCCCATTTTTGCTTTAAAGTAATTCTTAAAAAAGGTTTTCAGGTAAGACTTTTAATTCAGATACTTGGGTTGCTATCAGGTAAAAGAAAATGCCAAATATTTGTACCTAAAAACTGAATGATCAAATAACTGTGCAGATTATAATTACCTTCATTTATTAAGTGTGAATTAATCTGTGTTTATGTATCATATGCATATCATTTAATTTTCGCACCTCTATCAGATACATATTATTACCCCCTTTTTAAAGTAATTGAGACACAACAAAGATAATTTTTCCAATGTCACAATGCTAGAAAGTGGTGTTTGGATTCAAAACTGGATCGGTCAGATAAACAAAGCTCTTATTTCACTATGCTCCACTTTGTCTCTGAAAGCAAATATCTGCTGCTTTCCGGCAACTGTGCCTTGTGCCCTAAGACAAAGAAAATCCTCTGTGGGCTCAGTTTACTTATACATAAAAATATTGGATAGAACTATTGATCTAGAAGCTTTTTGCAACTAGGAACATTCTAGATTCTATAACTCATACAGAAATATAAATTATCAAATGACAAAATTATAACTGCTTATGAACTATTAAAAAAAAGAAAGGGAAATTAGACTTATCAAGAACATACTAAGTGCTTCACACTCTCATGGACATTTCACATAATTTATCTCCTTTACTCTTCCCAACTCTTGAAAGAAAGAAATTTTTATTTCCATTTTTCAGATGAGGAGTTAGACACATGTAATACCTCGCCCATGGACAGATAGCTAATAAGTAGGACAGTCAGGATTTATCCTGAGGTGTGAACTGGCACCAAAACTTGTTGCTTTTTCCTCTTTGTCATTGCTCAGAAAGAAAGGAGTAACCTTTATTGACAGAATCCATTGGATGCTTAGTCGAACTATATTTCAGATTCATGTAACACTTCAAATAATATCAGCACAATTTTATGTAATAAACGAAGACTAGTTTGGATGTCTTAATGGTTTTGGTCATTCTGAAATAATGTTCGACGAAATAGCTGGGGAGTTATAAGCTGCAGCTGTTAGTCCTGGCTCTAATTATAAAAGAATCAAACAAGTGTTGTTGAGAAAGTTTTCGGTTATATTTAGACTTAATATTACTAGTATTTGGGTATAAATGATGCTAACAAATAGTTCTCATATTTCTCTCATATGATTGCAGGAAATGAGTTTTTATTCATCAAAAACCCTGTGTTTTTATTTAGTTATCATAGGCTTACAGATATTCATTTCCTCCTCACAAAAGAAAATCCGGAAGTGCTCAAGGATTTTTTACTTTTTCATAGATCTTAAGATCTGACAATTATACAAAGACATTTGTCTCTGTGTCCCCCTGACCCCTGTATTAGTCAGGGCTCTTCAAAGAAACAGAAACAATAGGATGTATGTGATGTGTGTATATATATCGGCACAGAAAGAGACTTATTACCATGAGATGGTTCGCACCATTATAGAGACTGGCAAGTCCGGATGCATAATGTGGACCAGCAAGCTCCAGACCCAGGAAAGCCAATGGTGCGGTTGAAATCTAAAAAGTCTGCTGTCAGATTAATCCCCACCTGCTCACGGAGGCTAGTCTTTTGTTCTCTTCCAGCCTTGAGCTGACTGGATGAAGCCCACTCACATTGTGGAGTGCAATTGCTTACTCAAGTAAGCAACAAGACCTGCAGAAAATCTAGCACCTGTCCCCGTATGCCTTCCCTTTCATTGCTCCTGGCATGTGGGATTTGGTCTGCCTCTCCTGAGTCGTGTTCCCTCACAGCTCTGTATTCCTCAGCAGCCAGACACCTTTAGGCCCCTCATAATGCCCCACCCACTGAGTGCAGTCTGGGCCTCTTGGGTATCTGCTTTCTAGACCAGTTTCTAGCTCTGTTTTATTTCTTGGCTGTTTACCTCTTGAGTCCCGAAACCTGACTCTTGGAAGCCCACACCTGCTCAGTTCATCTTCCTGTACCCTGCTACAGGGAGTCCTCCCCTATCTGCCTGCCCTTCAATGTTTACAATTTCAAAGGGGATTAAGAATTGACAGTAAAAAGTGCCATTGTCAGAATGAAGGTAGAATTAAGAGGACAAATCTTCTAGATGAAGGAATCAGCATAAACAAATAAATAATCATTCTCATTAACAACTCAAGGTTGGTTTCCACGACCTCCTTCAGAAACTGTTTTGCTCAGCCTCCCTGCCCTGACTAGATGTTCTCTCTTTTCACGAGTGTTGACAATATGACAAACAAAAAGTACAGAGTAGCATTCAGAGAATAAATTATTTAAGGTCCATGTTGTACTTCTTTTTTCATCCAAAGATATCTATTTGTTTAAACTGAAATGCAGTCCTTACACTCTTTCTTAAGAAGAAGCATTTTTCTCTTTTATGCTCTGATGAAAGTCAAGGTATTTTTCTTTTCTCATTTCCCCACTAATCTAATTCCAAACTTCAGTCCCCCAACCAACTGTGCTCTGCTATAGTCAGTTTTTAGGAGACATAGATACTGTATAGTAACATTTCACTTCACATAGGAGACTGTAATCTGGAAACTTCATCTGACCATGAAAGGAAAATATAGAAAGGAAAATATAAAAGGAAAGGAAAGGAAAATATAAAACAGTGGCCCCTGAACAATCAAAAATATGTCAAAAATCCCCATACACAAAGTCCTATATATCTTGCTCAGGGAAGATCTCAGTGCTTTACTCATGGGAAAATTACACTAATTAGAGACATTTCTAACAACAAGCTTGTTTATCAGATTTGAAATCTAAGCAACAAAGTTGAAGGGAAAAAAGGCAGTATGAAGAAATTATTTCAAGGGGACACACAGAGCATGGAAAAATGGTAATTAATTGCAAAGGAGAAAGACATGAGCAGACCCTAATCAGTTCATTCTGAGCAAGGAATTATACATTTCAGAAAGACTTTCATCCAAATAATTAAAATGAATAATTTTCTTAAAAAATCTTAGTACTTAAGAAAATAAACTCTTAGGCTGTTAGAAACCTTGACTATTTGACTAGTTCATCATCCAGGCAGGAAAACTAAGGCCTTATTAAATTTAACAATTATTGCCCCAGGGTGCTATGCTACAGAACAGCAGCAACCAATAATACACATAATGCACACTGCTTTATTGAGAAACTACTATGTGTCCCCTACATATTTTGCTGGATGCTTTACAAGTATTAGTACCCATCCTCTTACCCTAATAAGAGACATTATCTCCATTTTACAAGTGAAGCACAGAGGTAAA